CCTGGCTTCTTATATTTGCAGCTCACAAACTGGGCACTACAGCTCAGTACCTCCCCTTTGCCCTTCTGAACAGCACAGTTATGAGTCTCTTCATAAGGGGAGGTTATCACTGTCATCAATCTCTCCCCATTCTCAGAGTATTTTTTTTATTTTTAGTTGAAGTCACAATTTTGTGTCTTTTGAGCATCATTAGGCTTTTGCTATTATGTTTGTTTCATGATTTACAGACTGTGAGAATCATTCTGCATTTTCAGCATTGCCCTATGCCCTCTCCCCTCCTTTTTTCCAGGGATTCAAGTGCAGAGCCAAGGCCTTTCACTGAGCTGCGGCTTTCCCTTGGGAGGTGCAGACACTGCCGGATAGCAGGATTTCCCTTCCTCTGCCCCAAACTCCAGCTGTCCCCAAGGCAGCAGGGCCTGAGCTGGCACATGGGATGTGCAGATAAACCACCCTGTGCACAGCAATGCCCCTCACAGGGCTGTCAGCATCCCCACCAGATACCCTCCTGTGCACACTGCTGGCACTGGCATGCTTCAGGGGGAGCTGATGAAATTCCTCTCCATAAATCCATAGCAGCTCAGGAATTCCATATCTGCCCATCTCACCCATTCCACCCAGGGAACATCAGTTAGGATGCTGCTGGAGCAGACATGTGTGTACCAAGAGCAGCTGGAACCAGGCTTTGGGTGAAAACAGAACCTCAGTTTTACCTGTGGAAGAACAACAGAGTGAGCAACCCTTGGATTGTTTTCCACCAGCTGTAAAAATAATCTAGATCTACACAGAAAAGCACTGAGTTATTGTTCAAAATGCCTTAGAAATATCTTGAAGGGCATCAACATTTTTATTTTTTTACTTTTACACTTTAAGAAGTTATTTTCAGCTGTCTAAAGGAGACCTCAGTTATTGCTCACAAGTCACTTTACACAGTTCAGTTCATGTCAGCCTTTTTCAAACCACTACAGTTCTTGGATAAAGAAAACTTTAAGGAAACAAGCATTTACTGAATGCTCCAGAAGGAGGAATATATTTATCAAGCAAACATAAATCCAAGCTGGCAGAGCAAAGCCTGAAAACTAATCACATTCACTGTGAGTTTAGATTAAAGGTTTTTTTCCCTAAATTTACTGCTACTGCTTTTAGTGTTATTTTTACTCTACTCAAGCCTTCCTGAAGATTATTCTACACATCTCACAAACATTCAGATGTCCTAACCAAGCTTGGAAAAGGCCAGCATAGAAACACTCAGTTGCTAGAGCTTATCTTTGAGGAAGGTTAGAAGCAAAAAAGAGAGAGCATCCATGCAAAAACCTCACATGCTCCATCTTCCACCCCACAGCCAAAGAGCCTCCTTCCTCCTCAATGGGTGTGAAAACAATAATAGAGTCACACATTTCAAGACAGAATTCTGGATCTATATTTCTCCAAGTCTTTAGAGCTCTCTGTTTTATTTATGCAGGTGATTTATCTTGAAATCCTGCTTTGATTTCCCACCTCCATCCCCAAATATCCTGATAGCTTTCCAAGTAGTGACATAATTAAATGAGTTTTCCTGTCCAGGTGTTTTTACTGACCCATGCCCTTGGTTTCTGTCTAAACTCCCAAACCTGTTATGATTTAGCTCAGTTTAATTTAGACTGAACAGCATATCATGGCTTGATCTAAAGTCAATTCCAATGGTGACAGCTCAGTTATTCTTCCCTGACCTGACTCAATTCCCAGCCCAGGATAGATAATCTTGTATGATTAGGTGTCCCCTATGTGATTACAGCTTTCATAAGTACTCTGCCTTGCATGAGGCTTGTTCTTTGAAAGTCTCACCATGTTAATGAACAGTTCTGTGGATGGTGTGCAATGAGAATGGAAAATTATTTTAGCCTTTTTACTGCCTCATTCTACCACTCCACCAGGAATTAGAACTTTTGTTCTAATTTACTAATTGCTAGAACTAATTTTTGTAATTTACCCAAAAGCAGAACTTTTGGGTTAATTGCTAACATATATTTTGCATGCATGTATCTTTTACCATAGGAAACAAACAGTAGGATAAGCACAGCACCAGCTTTCCAGGAAAGATTTCTATGATGTATTTCAACTCCATCTGAAGGTTTCTGAAGTTGCCTGTCCAAGTGTTTGATGGAATTAATGTGAACTCTTGTCCTACAGATTTGAGTCTTGTGGTGGAGTGGCTTTGAGGTCACAGCAGATGCAGTCTGGGATTGCGAGTTCTCTGTGCAGTCTCATACCTGACGTTACACTAAATTATTCTTCTCTTTTTAATGTCACCTCTTTTTTGCACAGCACATGTGAGAACATTATGGGTCTTTGGAGCTCTACCTTTGACAGCTTCAGACCATATTTGCCTGTGGGTGCACAATCTAATCTAAGGTCTGGGAACAAGATGCAAATAGATAGATATCCTCTTTACAGGAGGTGTTTTTCCACAGGAAAAGAAACAGAGCAAACAAAGCTGCACTGGGTAGAATATTTTAATGTAAGTCCCTTTGGAATCCAGTCTATATTACCATCACAGAGAGATGGATCAGCACACAGCATCTCATCTCTTAGAAGTATTAAAAATAGGGGATGAAAGAGAAAAGGAGGAGAGAGGATGGCTGATGGGGACTCTGTATGGTGATGAGATGGGGATTTGTGTCGGAGCAGCAGCGGTTTCCTTCGGTAATTTTATTTGTGCTGTTCACTTAGAAAGTACTCACTGAGTGCTCCCTCCTGGCTTTGCTGTGCAGTTTGCATTTGCCACTCTCTCAACATCCAGCTGCCAGGCAGATGTGGCAAGCAGCACAAAAGCTGCTCAAAAGTTCTGAAATATGCACAGTTTTTCATTGTTTGGCACATGGATGAAGGACAATGGCATGCATTGCCATAGGTTGGTAAGAAAGTGCTGGTTGATTTTAACATTCACTCTGTCATCATTAGAGTAAGAAAGAATCTTCAAGCCTTGCCTTTCTTTTGGGGAAAAAAAATGTGTCTTTCCCTCTCTACATTACCCAACCTGAAGAAATTTATATCACAGAATTGTTGGGATTGGAAGGGACCTCTGGAATCATCTAGCCCAGCCCTCCTGCCAAGGAAGGGTCACCTAGAGAACATGATATGAAATTTGGTGTATGATGTCAATCAAAATGAAAGCAAGGGATCTCATAACTTGAACATTTTAACAGGCCAAGGTAACATTCTGCTTTTTTAATTGATGAAGGGGGTTTGAGGCGGGCACAAATGTAAATTAAGCCTTAGCCTCAATTTCTCAAGGCTTTGCTGGAAAATCCCTGGGCATTTCAGCATCACAAGCTTCTGGGGAATATTTGAAGATATTTGAAAGGCAGCTGATATTTCCAGCAGCAATACTGAAGAGAAATGTCATGGGATTGTTCTGTTCTTCAAATAATTTCAGCTCCACTTTGGAGGAGAAGACCTATGGGGCAGACTTGGCTATGGTTTGGTGGTGTTACTTTCTGAGCAATGAATTTCCAGCTGAGTGCCATTGCTGCTATTCCAGTCAGTTTTGAGCCAAAGACAAGCTGGAGTTCACTACAGGTATCAAAATTCTTAGAGCTCTAATATGAAATAAAACAGAACTAACAATGTTCTTACCACCGAAAAGGCTGAAAGGAAGGAAAGGTTTTCATGATTTTTTTACTTTTTATTTTATTAGCTATATCTTTCTTTTATGCAATATTATGTTTTCCATATTTACCAATTTAAAAAAGGAACTTTTACTTTAAAACTAAAGCAAAGGCTCTGCCTTGGCTGTGTGCAGGGTCAGCACCAAAGGGAGACAAGAAATCTCCCCAGACTCTCCTGAACTGAGGGCTGTGTGCATTGCTAGGGAAAAGCAAACTGAGGAAAGAGCTTTTCCCACTGAAATTCACAGTGGTGAGGGCCAGGCTGAGCAGAAATGACAGCTCAGCAGCTCCAAGCAGGGCACCAGGAGGAATCCTTCAAGCCTGGAAGATAAAAGAGCAGCTGCTCCAGCCCCATGTAAGCTGTGAGCAATCCCTTTGCTCAGCGCCTTTTGCACTTCCCAGATCTTAGCTATGATGGAGAGGGGATGAAGAAGGGGGGCAGAAGGGGGTCTTGGGGGAGGAAGGGTATTGGTGATGGCACAAAACCATCTATTTCCTGCCCTTGCTACCCGAGGGTGCCCAGGGTCAGCTGGATGCTCAGCCAGCACCCTTGGGTGCAATCCTGCCAGGGGAAGCCCTGGTGCCTCCTTTCATGTTGGGTTAGGGAGTTACAGTGCATTGTGGCTTCAGAGGATGCAAACTAATTAGGGGGGAAAGAGCCAGCACACATCTGTTGAAGTCTGGGTTCCTAGGAGGAGACTGTGGGATCCCATTGCAGGGCCCCATCCCAGGGGCACTGAACCTTTCCCTGAGCAGCCTTTGCACACTGTGGGTCAAGAATGCCCTCAGGATTCCCCTCTGCTTGGGAAAATAACACCAGGGCTTTGGCCACGTCTCCAACTCCAGTCAAACATATTTAATACAACAACTGGGACATTTACATCTGATGTCAGCATGTTTATAGCCAGTCAGGCTCCAAAACCTTATTGCCTTCACAGAAAAAAAGAGAAAGGACTTTCTAAACAAATTTCTCTGGTTAACCTGTGCTCTCACTAGTGATGGTGCCACTTCACTCTGAAAATAGAATGAACACAGCTGGTACATGCCCTAGGCTGTCAAGGCCAGTCATGTTTTGGTAGGAGCACACTTCTTCTTCTGTTAAGAATATTAACACATTACGGCACATTAAGTTTTCTCCCCTCAGTTATCTCCCTATCTTGTTCAAAGATGTAGTTTGAAAATTATAGTAGGAGTCCTAGTAAAATCTCTGTATTTTATTTAAATATCTGTATATAGGCCTTGCCCTGATAAGCCCCGATGGGCTGCAGCTTCGATGTCCTTAATTGGGCTGCAGCTGTAGCTGGTGAAGATAACTGGGATAAAAGGGGGTGGGCTTGGCCAGTTAGGGAGAGCCTGGAAGGAGTCCTGACTAAGAAGCAGTAACAAGCAGAAGAACAAGTCTGTGCTGTGAAGAACTGCCCCCAAGAAATATTGCTGAGAAGGTACGAGACTCTAGAAATATGATTGTGACAGTATTGGACTCTAAAAAGTATGAAATGTAATAACACCTTATGAGGCAGAGTATGAGAGTGATTATGGGGGAAAATTCAGGCTGCAATTCTGCCAGTTGGACAAAGCAACATTGGACCTATCCCTAAGACTCAGCTCTAAAGTGTTGAAAGGTAGATACTCAAGGAGCCCCTCAACTCCAGTATTAGGAGGTGCTGTTTTAAATAATTTGCTTGTTTTCTTGTTTTATTTTGGTGGGGTTTTTTATTTGCTTAGGACATCCCCAATTTTTCCAGGAGCAACTGCCTTGAAGCCAGTGTCCTCTGCAATCCTGGTAATGGTTATGAGATTCCAGGAGGCCATGGAATTTGGCTTATTTCTGCTTCTTATTTCCTACTGCTGGAATGACAGCCTATTCCTGTCAAGAATATAGCCACAGCCACGTTATCACAAAGTGGGAATGCAATTGCTTAACACACCCCAGTTTTTCACAGTGTGTCAAGTTAACAGTAATTTTTTTATCCTGTCTCTGCCACACAGCACAGATGTTGTTGCTTCCAACATTGCCTTTGTTACTGGAGCACAGCTGAGGAGTAATTTTAGTCCCCTATTTTACACAGCCTCTTTCATGTGCTGCTGCAGCCATCAGCCAGACAAGACACTTGACTAAGCAAACTGTCAATGTATTTCACACACCCACAGGAGATGCATTACATCCGAGTTTACATGTGAGATGCCTCCAGTTTGATTTTATGCTGGACTTGCTCTCCCTCATTAGTTCCCCTTTTGTTGTCGCTGGGAGATTTTTTGACAGCATAACTTTTGTTGTTATAATAGAAACTGAAACTTTTCCCCAAAATGGAAATATTTCACACAAATACCTCGTGCTTTATGACAGCCACAAATTTCTTTTTGATTTGTTCTCTTGCAGTGCCAGAATTCAATGCCCCTCAGCAGCTTGCCTGTATTACCTGTAAGATGGAAGTGCAAGTGGAGATTATGCATCCCCAACCCCTTTGCATACACACAGACACAGGAAAAAAAGCTGGAAAAAGGCTAAAGAATTAACTGATAAGTTCTGACATGGCATTTGGAGCTCTGCTGGATATTCCTGAGGTCCTGTCCTTATGGAGAGAGGACTTTGCTGTGCCAGATAAATAGGAAGAAACGCACTTGCAGTGTGACTGGATCAGCGTCCCTCAGCAGTAAAGACTTTCCCTACACTGTCACCAAACCCAGTTAGCTTAAAAGACAGGAAAACCCAAACCACTCACAACTTCCTCCCTGATCAGTGCAAATCAGCCATGAACTGGAATCTCTGGAAGTCACTTAACAGCCTGTAACTTGTATGAGAAACTCTCTATTTTAAGAGAATTTCTGCATCTGTTTCCCCAGCAGACCCTGCCAAAAGAAGACACTGGCAGGATTTCGGCATCTTGCCTTCTGCTTGAAACTTCTGTGAGTATGGGAATGTGGAAATGGAAGATAACTTTTAAAAACATGATCTGAAGGACAGCTATCTCCAGGTCTTGTGCACCAAAATGATCTAGGTATGAAACTGAAAGAGGACAAACAAAGAAAAGGTTTTCCCTCACATTCCTAGACTGGGAATGTGGGAGTGCACAGCTTATTGCTTCCTGGCACTCACGCTCCCAAATGTGACAATAATGCTGTAAGGATAATCAGTCCAATTTATGTTCCAAGTGTGAAATGTCCAAATCCTGCACAACAGGGGGGCTTTCATCATTTCATCTGCGTGCAATGAATGCAGAGAATAATTAGCAAAATGAATGAAAAGGCTTTGGACTCGATTTTAATCCACCTCTGTGCAATGGGAATAACACCCCAATTCATTAGGCATCAGATGCACATTAGTGAAACACAGTGGCAACTTAATTCAGCTGGGAAGGGCATCCCCCCAGGGAGAGCTGAAACAAGCCTGCCCATCATTTCTCCATATGTGGCTAGCTTCAATTAACCTTCCCAAAGCACAAATTGGTGCACACCTTGAAGGAAAATGGAAAAGAACAGCTACTTTATGGGCCTTCCTGCTGTATTTCAAGATGGTTTCCTTATCCTGAGCAAGTTGGAACAGCAGGAGTGGTGGGAATTTCGATGGAAGGGAATTCAGACACTGGAACAATGTATTCAGGGCACCTCTGCAATAGTCAGAACAGGATTTGCAGTATCTTTAGGGAATATTATTACTAAATTTCAACTTTCATTTATTCCTCTGAATTGTTCTACTCTTGCCCTTGTCACTTTGGATCAAGTTCTCCTTTGTGAGCTTGTTTTCTCATTTATTAAAGGCCAAGTGGTATTCTGTTTACTCAATTTCATGGGAAAACAGAGTGACAGCTTGCTGTGAGCTTTGGGAATAAATGCTGTATGTATCCTGAAGTCTCATTTCCTTGCAAACCCTCCTATTAAAGCAATAAGTGGGAAGGGTGAGCCAATTTTCCTTTGCTCTAAACTTTCCCTAAAGGTTTGCTTAGTGTCTTTAGCTTAGAGAGAATCTAGGAGGAAAACACTTGTGCGCTCCAATTTTTGTTTTCTTGGTAAAATATCTAGGAACTTGGCAAGTGCAGAGCTGAGGGGAGAAGTTAATTTAACTGATATCCTGCTCAGTTGGGATCCTCTTGCCTTTTGAGGTCTCAGTTTGCAATTCCAGCACTGTACAAATTGGCCATTACAGAAATCGCTTATTAGTTTTCCCAGGGTTTCAAGTTGCACCCCAGACTTCAGAATTCTCAGGGACACTCTGAGGAAACTGGGATGTGTGACTCCCAGGGCTGTCCTTGACCCCCTCCTCAGCTCTGAGACAAACCTCCTTCTCTGCCTGGCCCATGGCATGCAGAGCTGAGGATACAGAGTGGCTCTTGTCCCAGAATAGTTCAGGCACCCTATGGATGTTCCAGGGAGGGAGAACTGTGCTTGAATAGCTATCCTCACTTGTCCTGCTTGTTCCTGAACAAAGGACATCTGTGACCCAGCAGCAGACACAATAAATGGATGTCACTGCTGAGGGAAAGCTGAGGAATTTTCCATGCCACTCACCAAATCCAGCCCTTGGAGGCTGAGGTTACTCCACTGGAATCAGTTCAGCCATAACTAATGTGAAGGACAACACGGAAGCAGAGTCCACAACAAATCAGTCAGGGCAGAGATGTCCTCCCTCCATCTCACTCCTTGCACAGCTCTGTCATCAGAGAGACCTTCCTGCCCTCCCTCCTCTGATCCAGAGGGCACACCAGGCACAAATGGAGATATCAGACATCTCCAGAGCCACTGGCCAGGTCTGGTCCTTGCTGTGAAAGTGAGTCACAACCTTCTTCATCCTTCCCACATCTGCATAAATCAGTCCTTGGCACGGGCTGCTCCAGGGAAGAGAGCTGAGGGGTAAATCTTAGGGAAATGGCAATGCTTGTGCTCTGACCCAGTGGCCAGACGTGCAGGGTGTTCCTCCTGGCCTCTGTGATGACAGGCATTTCTGACACTTGGCATTAATCTTGCTCTGATTCTGGCCGTGTCACTGCAGCCTCTCCTTACACCTTCTCCAACCTGTCATGCAGCCCATGGATGTGACAAGAGGTGCAAACTGCAGATGCTCTGGCAAGCTCAGCTTTAAATAGTTTAATCCTGGCAAGTTTGTGCTGCTGAGGTTTTACAAAGGTGAAGCCCTTTGAGTGTGGAGGTGATGAATGGCTGCTCAGTGTGGCAAGCACTCAGGACAGCAGGGGCTTCTAAATTCCTCCTCGTTTTCATATTTCACACAGAGAGCAAAGCCTGGAATTCAGTGTGATGCTTGTGTGGTCTGTTTGTAAACATGCAGCAAGAGGGGGTGATTTAGGGGATAACCAGTCCATGGACCCCAGATTTTCTCTTATGCAGCTGCCATTCTGTCAGCTCCTGAAGGCACAGCTTTCCTTCCTTCCTTCCTTCCTTCCTTCCTTCCCTCCTCCCTGCTGCCCAGGCCCCTCTGCAGTCCCAGGGAAAGGGCTGGAAATGACTCAAGGACAAAGCAGGCTTCCCCTCTCAGTGTGAAAAGGAAAAGGCCCCTCTGAGACACCAGAAAACCACAAAGAAAGGGGCTCAGTTACCTGTGGGGCAGCAGGATTCCCAGGCTCTGGAGCTGCAGGGAGGAGAGGGCAGGATGGGAGCAGAGCATTGGTTTCTCAGTGTTCTGTGCTCCTTCCAGGGCAGAAATCTCTGAGATTTACAGAGATCCATGTAGCATCTTAGAGATCCTATTATTAGCAAGCTCCGTTTAACCTCCCAGAGCATCCATCAAGCCAAAGCATCACAGTAACACTCCCCAGCTGTTATATTACATGGATAATTATAGTCTGCAGATGCTAATGCAAGGAACCCATGTCACTTATGATACATCATGATACAGGATGAAAGGCTTTCTTTCCTTTTTTTTTTTTTTTTTTTAATTTAGGCTTCCAAGTGGTGAATTCTTTCTTTCCTTTCCTTCCTTTCCTTCCTTCCTTCCTTCCTTTCCATCCTTCCTTCCTTTCCTTCCTTCCTTTCCTTCCTTCCTTTCTTTCCCTATTGTTTTTTACCCTGCAGAGGTGAGAGCACAGCCCCATTCAACAGTTTGGACTGGATTAATTTTTAAAGAGTGCTTGGAGGCTACTTGAGGACAAGCAAACACTGCATGTGGCTGTTGCATGAGTGAGCAGTCAAAGGGGAGAGCACAACCACAACCTGGCCTCTCAGGGACTCTGCACTGCTTCTGAGGATAAGGCAGCAGAAGCTCAGAAATGTCTTGGAGGAAACCTCGGCCCATCCCCAGGCACCTCTCTCAATGCTACACTCTTGCTCCAGTCTCCTGCCTCTTTGCTCGACGGTTTCCAAGGAAAGCTGCAAAGATCTGGAAACCTCCTTTGCCCAGGGAAGCATTTTCCTACATATCATAAGATGGGTATGTGCAACCTCCTTTTTCCACTTGTGTTACAGCCACAAGGGCAGCTGGTGCCCCATGATTGCAGTCCTGAGCTCAGAGTGGCCTAAAATAATGCGGAGAGCACGGATTAGAGGGCCAGACACCCGACCAAATTTGAGGCTGCTCAAAGGATTTACAAAAGTGTCTCCAAATCAGGGAGCACTCAGCCAGCTTTATTTTACAAGAGGAAAACCAGGGCACATTCCTTTGACCAAAAACCTTCTGAGCACTGAGGAAAGGAGGAGCAGGCAGGGACAGTTTAAGGATATGCTCCTTTGAGTCAGAGTTTTCAGAATGAACATTGTTAATTTTACATTCCCCCATTAATTTTTCACAAGGCTTTATTTGAAGCACGGGGCTATAATTTTGGCTCAGGGTTCTGGTGGCTTGAGGATCATTTTGTTTATAATACCACCAGAAAGCCCTAATGGAAGTATCCATCTGTAATTCATGCTGGTTTGCCACTTATTCTCCCTTTTCAGCATACATGAAGCTTCTGTAAAAGTCACAGAGGTAATTGCATTTTTTGATTTGCATTGTGTGATTAATGTGAGTGTATGTGGAATTTTCCAGGGGAAAAAACCCCACAGTAAGACTACATTGTGAAGGACAGAATTGCATATATGAGTGAGCTGGATGTATTTCTGATGCTGCCATTTCAAACAATCTCAGCTCCAGGTTGAACTAAATCAGTACTAAACATTTATTAATGCATTCACCATTTTTTCTTGCCTTTCTTTCTCTTACCCTGCATGGTAGCTGGCAATGTAGAGAGATATTGGTGCTGTACAGATGACAGAGCATAAAGGAAGCTTAGACCAGGTGAAAATAACATTAATTATAAGATAGCAGAGAGAAAAGATGCATGCAGGGAAGATTTACCACTTTCATTTTTATATTCTCCTTTCCTCTGAAAGAGAATGCTAAGGATCCAAATTGCCTTTAATTCTCTGCCCACAGTGCATCACCCATTATTTGCAGTCAATAAGTATAATTTTTTTGCAGCAAGAGGAGCTTTACCAGTCACAGACAGCATAAGAAGCATTTAATGTAGTACACGCTTTATCTTTTTTTTGTCCCCAATTTTAACTGTCACGACACAAAAGCTAATTTAGTGTGGCATTTCCCAGCCAGCACAGGAGGTGCTGAGACAGCTTTAATAACTTCACCCCAACCTCTGCCTCTCTCCACATCACAGTTCTCGGTAATGCACATGCATGTCTGGTGGCTGAGGCTTTCACAACATCACATCTCTGATCTCTGGCTGCCAGTGTCATTCTCAGTTTGCTTTTATCCTTAATGACAACGAAGGAAGGAAGCAGGATGCAAGCAGGAGAGCTGGATAGGCTCTAGCTGTTTCTGTTGTGAAATGAGAAGAATAATTGCAGGTGGCTTAAAACAGCTTCCCCAGTGCCTTCTGTGTGTATTGGGGTAGGCATTGAAGCCACTTCTAAAATGAGAAAAAATATTTAGGATGAGCCATGTTCCCTCTTAGGGTATTGTAAGCCACACATATGGAAAGATTTATCTTGAATATCTATAGTCTTGATAAGTGTGGAGTTTTAATTTTCTTTTGTTGGGTAAAGACAGGGATGGAAAGAAATACAGCTACTGCCTTCAGTTTGGAAGTTAATGAAATTCTGGACATTTTCACATGGATATTTTGGATTCTTTTCCTCGTTAAAGAATGGAAATAGTAAGAGGCCCTGTGAATGCACAATGACCTCCATCCTTCAAATGTAATTAATATATTAATTAGCAGCTGCTGCATCGCAACCTTGTTGGCCCAAGATGTGTACATTAACTGGTACACAGGAGATAAAGGCACCTCTAATTGTACCTTTGCAGTGGTTCCTCCCTCTGCTCTGGGACTGAGGCGTGCTAATGACTGCTCAGGGTCAGGAAAGACTCTCCCATTTTCCTCTCTAGGGCTCAAATCTCACCTGAACCAAACTCCAAGGATCCTTTTTACTCAGATGTGAAAATCAAACACTTTTGTAAAGACACAGCACTGCTTGAGCTGAGCTGTACATGCTCATATCTCGATGCTCTCAAGTGGCTTCCTGTCATTTACTGTTTCCAAATAAATTTGTCCTCATGCCTATGTTTTGAATGCAGCCCTGGCCTCATCTGCAGCTCTTTACTGTACTTTTCAAAGCTTGTGGCAACTCAAGAGGGTGTAATTTACTCCTGAAAGTGTCCTTTTCCTGTTAAACATCCTCCTTCCTTCCTCATTCCCAGCTGAAACAGAACGAGTAGAAAGAGACGCCGATGATCTGAGCCATGCAGCAGGAAGGATACAAAGCAATTTATTGCTGTGGATCATTGAATCACAGAATACTTGGGGTTGGAAGAGACCTTTAAAGTTCTCCTAGTCCACCCCCCAAACAATGAGCATCTTCAGCTGGAGAGCAGGGTGCTCCAAGCCCAGCCTGCCCCTGGGCACTTCCAGTGATGGGGCATCCTCAACTTCTCCGGGCGACCTGTGCCTCACCACTCTCTTGGTAAAACACTCATTCCTTCTATTTAATGTACAACTTTATCTATCCTAGATCTAATGTCCATTCTACATTTAATATCTCTATCTCTCTCTAGCATCTGTATCTAATCGGTGTGGGTCCCCTCATGCAGCTGTCTTGAAGCAACCACACTCTCCATTCTGCAGGTGAGTATTTCCCAAAATCTGCCTCCTGGAGCCCTCACTGGCAGGCAGATTGTGGCTGCAGAGGGTGGCAGGCTCTCTGAAAATGTGACCAGAGCATGCCCTCTGCTATATCTGAAATTCCCAGGCAGGAAAGACACACGGCGTTAGGGAAGCAGTGTGATAAATTTAGCAAGTGATAATGCAAACAGCATGGAAAAAATGTGTGCTGTGCAGGAGGGCACAGGCTCCTTTGCTAGCTGGGACATGACTGACCCCTTGGAAAGAAGGCTGCAATGCATTTAAATCTGATCCACAGGCTTGCATGTGTCCACAGTCCCACTGGAGTCAGAGAGGCTGCAGAGTATGCAGTTACAAGCTATAGAATTATTTATTTTTATAAGAATTGGGAAGTTAGGGGGTGAAATGTCCTTGGCTTCACCTCCCAAATAGATCAGCAATGTAAATAGGCAGTTACTTTTCACTATTGCCAGTGATTAATCTGCCTAAGGAGAGCCCTTACTTTCTCTGGTTCACTTTGCTTTTTCTTTGTTGATATTTGACTGACTTGTCACTTTGCTTGAAACAGTAAAAACATCAATTTGCCAGAAGCCAGAGAACAGTCTCACTCCTTTTAATTTGCTCATTTCCAGTATCAATTCATTTAGAAGTCTAAAGATTTAGCCTTGTGGTGTGCTTTCCTGCAGCTGCATTCCTATCCCTATCCATGAGCCCAATGAGTGAGTTTCTCAGAAGGAGGACAGCTGAAATGTCACAGAGAGTTAGTCAAATTGCTGAGCTGCAGGCTTTACCAAGACACAATGACAGAAACTCTCAGGCTGAGGCCAACCCTGCCCTCAGCAATTTCTTCAAATTCCTTTCTTTGTTGCTTCCCTAATTTTTCTGAACTGTGACTTTATAAAAATCTTCACTGCATCCTTATATTTTACTGTAAGCCCCAACCAGGCTGTCAATTCACAGCTCTAGGTTTCCTTCCCAGGTTACAAGAATTGCTTTCTTATCATTGTTTTTTTCCCCCATTTGATTTAGATTGATAAAGAGAGATATCATTTCCACTTTTAACAAGCCATCGTTCAGATCTGAAGTGGGAAATATCCATCCAGGCAATTTGTATTTACAATACTTCTGCTTCTCCCTGGATAATTTTGTTCTTTGTGACAAAAAAAGGCTGAGGTGGGGAAGAAAAGGATGCAGTAAATCAAGTCAACATGGAGAACCCTTCCAAAGGCTTAAAATCCCAGGTAGTGTCATTGTAAAGGGCATTAATTATTTCAAAACTGTCTTGCTTTTCCACAATGTAATGTGAAATGTTACAGTGAAACCAGACACATCATAATCCTCAGCAGTTAATTCAAGGCTATGCATTAGCATCAGAAAGCAATTAGATGTTTGAATTCACACACATTGGGAGGGTCACAGTAAATCTACTGTAAAGAAAAGGAACCAAGTGAATTGAAGAAAAACTTCCCAGTCAGATTGCAGTAAATATGTAATAAATCAGCTCCTGATAATTCAGGATGCACAGAGGAGAAAAATAGCGAAGAATCCAGAGTTTAAGTGTCCATCCTGGTGAAGGAAGACATAGGAAAAGGAAAGGCTGGAAAATTAAAAGGGCAGAGGTAAGGGTAATATTTTTTTCTGTCAAGCATTGTAAAGAAAAGAAAATGCCAGTCATAATGATAGAGGAAAGGGATGAGAATGATGAGAGAGGGAAATAATGGTTCTGTTATGCACTGAACAGTGAATGCTGCTGCAGAGCTGAGCAGGGAGATGTTAATGGGCACAAAAGGCTGGGCTGCCCACTTGGATGGGGAGATGACAAATTGCCAACAACAGGAGACGTGCTCCTGTTCAATTGCATTTTAATAACATGGAAGGGCTCAGTGCAAGCAGCGAGAGGCTCAGAGCAGAAATTACCTTACAAAAAGATCATCTGCCTCAGTGTCTGTCACTGCTGAGCAGGAGGGACACAATAGCAGGGGAGAGATCAGGGTGCCCTCACTGCTTTTAGCACACTGCAATGAGTGCCTGGATCCTCAAGGATGTGGTTAAGGCAACAGGCTGCCAGGTCTCTGTGTCTGTTTTTGTCACAGATTCCAAACAAAAGACACTGAGGTTGCCCAAAAACTGAGGGAGCAGCAGCAAA